GATATTATATTTCTAGTTTGATCTGATTTTGCCCATAATGCAGATTTTCTGTATAATAACCAACTTTTCAAAAATAGATAACTGACATACAAAAGTCAGGAGGCAATAGCAGCAGCATATATTTAGAAGTATTTCATGAACATATTTATTGTGGGTTGGATATAGACTTAGTCATACTTAGAACAAACTCACTGAAATTAATTGGGCTTAAACTAGGCTGACTAACTTAAGCCCCATTGATTTCAGTGGGCCTGTCCAAGAGTGCAAAAGTTTTAACAGTCCTTCTCTTGGTCATTAAAGCATTTCTGATCAATGTACTTTTGGGGGGGGGGGCAGGGGAGAAGGAAGTTACTCAGTATTTCACTTTTCCTTCTCAGAAAGCAGTATTTTTTGCTTTCCAAAGAAGAAATAGAATGAATAAAAAAAATGAATTCATTTATACCCCTAAGTGAGCTCTTGCTAAACCAAGAAATAGTAGCTACCCAACGGTGCAATCCTATAATCATTTACTATAAACATTTGCAAAGTACTCAGGAATGCAAAGTGCTACACAACCCTAGTGGTTAAGATGGTTCTATAGTCCAGACCTGCACAACATGCGGTCTGCCAAGCAGCCTTATGAAAAGCACGGTGGCATTTTCTAAAAAATAATCCACTGCCGATAAATACTGCTATCACTAAGAAGGCTCTGTTGCCACCGCCTATGTTTTCAGAGCCCCTTCCACCTCAAAAGATATGCTGCAAGCACCCCCAACATCTCCAGGCCCCACGGACACTGCCAGTGCCAATGCTACCACCACACAACAGCTCTTCGCTTGTGGTCCTTTCCCCCCCCTTGAGTTGTGCAGGCCTGCTCTAGTCTGAGACACACAGGTTGAAACCCCACAAAGCCACAGAGCTCGCTGGGTGATTTGGAGGCAGTCATTTTCCATTCACCCAACCTATTTCATCGGTTATTGTTACAGGAACCAAATTACAGAATGAGAATAGAATAGAAAATGAGAAAAGGCAGATTATAAACACAATTAATATAATAAAAACAGCAGCAGCTGCAATAATGTATTAAACTTTTACTGATGATGCCTGACTCTCAACGACTTTGGGCAGCTCCCAACAATCAAACAAAGAAATTACAATAAAATCAATAAAACATAAAAGATAAAGATAAAAGATGGCAAGCACAATGAAGTAAGGGGTCTCACTCTCCCTTGTCAAAGGCCTGAATGAAGATCCAGGTCTTCACTGCCCTTCTGAACAACAGCAGAGTGGGAGGCATCTGGATCTCTGGGGGAACCCTGTCCCAGAGAGCAGGTTCTGCTACAGAGAAGGAGTGCTTCCAGGGTCCTAATAGATGGCACTGTTTGATCAAAGAAGCCCAGAGCATGCCAACCCTGCAGGATCTAATTGGCTAGGTAGATGCTATGGGAGATAGGCAGTCCCTCAAGTAACCAGGCCCTATGCCATGTAGGGTTTTATAGGGAACAACCAGCACCTTGAATCACACCCAGAGGCAAACTGGTAACCAATTCAGCTCACAAAGCAGAGGTGTTACATGGGCATACAAGGCATGCCCATTATTGTTTGCGCTGCCATATTCTGGACCAGTTGAACTTTTCAGGTGGTCTTCAAGGGCAGCTCCATGTAGAGAACATTGCAGTAGTCAAGCTGTGAGGGGACTAGGGTATGAGTGACTGTCTGAAGGGCCCCCCAACCTAGGAAAGGGAGTAACTGGCGCACCAGATGGAGTTGTCCAAAGGCCTTCCTAGCCACAGTTGACACCTGCTCTTCAAGCAGGAGCTACAAATCCAGGAAAATATAAAATGGCAAATGTGACTGATTAATAAATATTACTCTTCACTTTTTTTAGATGTATAGAACAAGAAATACAAGCAGCTAGGTTTCCTAATTACAACAAAACAGCAACAGTATGGTAACATTATTAGGAACAACAAAAAATCTAGGAAGACAGCTGCCAACAGTTCCAAAAGGCTTCTTTTTCTAAATTATACTAATAAACATTTAGTACTGCTTATTAGACTAACCCTCTTGCAAAGTGTTTAATGAAAGTACTAGTTTATCTCAGTTCTGATGTTTATATTCAGGTTCTCTGGCGAGTTAAAATGGAGGTTAAAAAAAAAAGATAAGAATCTAATACGAATTGATCGCGACCCGAATCAAATTTTCCCATAAGGTTCAATGTAAATATGGTTAATCCGTTCTGAC